AATTTGGAGAGATCCTTAACTGCAGACTTTCCCAATGTAATATGTCTCCTTATTTCCTGATTACTGGTACCAAGAGTGCTAATTGTGGATCCAAGTAAGATGAATTTTTTTACAGTTTCAATCTTTTCTTCATCTCTCATGATGTACTAGTAAGTAGGCTGTTTAAAGAAGACTTTAGGGAATGTATTGTATCTTTTTAAAATTGGTTTGTATATAGTACTTCATATACATTATATTTGTCCTAAGTACTAAAGAGAAATGGCGTCTCTCTGGAGACTAAGGTGCGTCTGATACAGGCCATGGTCTTTGCAATCACTTGTTATGCATCAGAGAGTTGGACAGTGACTAGGGAGGATAGAAGAAGAATTGATGCCTTTGAGCTGTGGTGCTGGAGAAGAGTATTGAGTGTACCATGGACTGCTAGGAAAACAAACAGGTTCAACCTAGAGAGGCTTAAACTAGGCTCCTCCTTGGAGGCAAGGATTCTGAGGCCTCGTCTGACATACTTCGGACATATTGTAAGGAGGGAACGGTCCTTGGAGAGGGGCATCATGCTTGGGAGGGTGGATGGACAGTGCAGGAAGAAAAGACCCTCTATGAAGTGGATTGACTCAGTGACTGGGGTAATCGGGATGGGTGTATCAGAGACAGTACGACTGGCACAGGACAGAGCAGAGTTTAGGGCTATTGTACATAGGGTCGCTATGAGTTGCAAGCAACTTGACAGCACATAACAACAACCACCACAACAACATTGTGTTTTATTCAACCTTTAATTTATGTTGTGCTTCATACTATGATTCATACATATTGTTTTGTTTTTATTGGTATGTGCCATCATAGAGACCCTATTTGCAACCTCCCTGAACCCTGTTCTATCTTGAACCAATTTCAATGTCTCTGAAACACCTTCCCAAATACCCTAGTCATTGAGTCAATCCATCTCATTTAGGGTCTTCCTCTCTTGCGCTGTTGCTTCACCCTTCCAAGCATGATGCCCTGTTCCAAAGACTAGTCCCTCTTTGCAACATGCCTGAAGTATGTCAGGTGGAGCTTCAAAATCCTTGCCTCGTTGTATTTTATGAAATTAATTCCTACTGTATGTATCCCTATTATCACCCTGTCTTTTCTAGTCCCCATTTAATTGTCCCCATCTCTTCATCTACTACCCTCTAAGCTCTGCTATCTTAGAGATTTGATTTTTTTCCTTCCCCATTTCCTGCCCCCTCCCACCTCCCATTTTGGACATTTATAAACATCTTACTAGTTACTCTTCTGTTTTTACATTAATGGCCTTATGCAGTATTTGTCCTTATGAGACTGAGTTGGTTCACTCAGCATAATACTTTCTAGACTGTCTCATGTTATATCGTTTTTGTACAAAATAGTTGTGCCTTAGGGCTGCATTATATTCCTTCATGTCCTACATTCGTACTACAATTTCTTAATCCATTTGTTTGTTGATGAGCTTTTGGGTTGTTCCCTTTTTCATGCTATTGTGAATAACGTTGTTATGAACATAGGTGTACATATCTCTGCTCATGTCTCAGTTCTATTTTCCTTGTTGTATATTCCTAGCAGTGGAGTATCTGTGTCATATACCATGGACTGCTAAGAAAATGAACAGGTTCAGCCTAGAGAGGGTTAAACCAGAATGCTCCTTGGAGGCAAGGATTCTGAGGCTTCGTCTGACATACTTTGGACAAGTTATAAGGAGGGACCTGTTCTTGGAGAAGGACATCATGCTTGGGAGCATGGAGGCACAGCGCAGGCGGGGAAGGCCATCTAGGAGGTGCACTAATTCAGTGACTGGGGTAATCGGGATGGGTGTGTCAGAGGCGATTTGCACAGGATAGAGCAGGGTTTAGGGCTCTTGTACATAGGGTCACTATGAGTTGCAAGCAACTCGATGTCACATAACAACAACAACAACCTACTTTGTAGCCTACAGACTGGAAGAGATCTATATTTGTTCCCATTCCACAGAAAGGTGATCCAATAGAGTGCGGAAATTATAAAACAGTATACGTGATATCCCATGCAAGCAATATTCTGCTGAAAGTCATCCAAAAATGACTGGAACAGCATATCAACAGAGAACTGTCTGAAGTGCAGGCTGGATTTAGAAGAGGCCATGACACTAGGGATATTATAGCTAATGTCAGATGGATCTTGGCTGAAAGCAGAGAGTACCAGAGGAATGCCTATCTGTGTTTCATTGACTATACAAAGGCATTTGACTGTGTGGATCACAACAAACTGTGACTGATTTTGAGAAGAATGGGAATCCCAGAACACTTGATTGTGCTTATGTGAAACTTATACTTGGACCAAGAGGCAATCGTCAGAACAGAGCAAGGAAACACTGCATGGCTCAAAACTGTGAGTATCTTTTCAATCTATACACAGAACAGATTACCCAAGAGGCTAGGCTCTATGAGAAGTGTGGCATAAGGATTGGAGGTAGACTCATCAACACTCAGCATAATGCAGATGACACAACCCTGCTTGCCTGAAGCGCTTGCTGCAGAAGGTCAAGGACTGCAGCCTTCAATATGGATTCAGGCTCAATATAAAAAAGACAAAGATTCTCACCACTGGGCCAATTGACAGAATCATGATAGATGGTGAAGAGATTGAGATTGTTGACAGCTTCAGTTTGGTTGGCTCTACAATCAATACTCTTGGTACCAGAAGCCAGGAAATGAAAAGACAAATTGCATTGGGAAAGTCTCCTGTCAGAGACCTCTCCAAAGTACTGAGGAGCAACGATGTCAGTCTGGAGATTAAGGTGTGCCTGTTAAAGACCATGATCTTTGCAATCACTTGCTATGCATCAGAGAGCTGGACAATGACTAGGGATGATAGAAGGAGAATTTATGCCTTTGAGTTTTGGTGCTGGAGAAGAGTATTGAATATACCATGGGCTGCTAGGAGAACAAACAAGTTCATCCTGGAGAGAGTGAAGCCAGGCTGTTCCTTGGAGGCAAGGATTCTGAAGCTCCGTTTGACATACTTGGGACATGTTGTAAAGCAGCATCAGTCCTTGGAGAGAGATGTCATGCTTGGGAGGGTGGAGGGACAGTACAGGAGAGGAAGATCCTCGATGAGATGGATTGATGCAGTCACTGGGGTAATGGCGGTGGGTGTGTCAGAGACAATAAGGTTGGCTAGAGATAGAGCAGGGTTTAGGGCGCTATGAGTAGCTCAATGACATATAACAACAACAACCTGTTTTGTGTACCCACATGGTTTTAGTGAAAGTTTATAAAGCAAACTGACTTTCCATTAAACCATTCAAACACTTTGCTTTGTGACATCTGGGGCATTGTGATTCTTTCCCACTTCCTCTTTGTGATTCTCATTTCTGTGAATCCTTTCGTCCTACCTCTTCCAGCCATCTGACCTTTATTCCTGGCAGATGCTGCTCTTATCCTATGGGATTGACCATTCTAGGGAGTCAGTGCCTCCTTAGTGTCACTGTTCCCCTTACCACTCATTGCTGTGGAGTAGGAACAGACTCATAGCTGACCCGCTAGTGGGCTAAGTTCACCTCTACCTTATCTGTCTGAAAGTTGAATCACTTGGGTGAGTTTTGCTCCAGGTTCCAGGAAAACTAAGGCCATAGTCACTGGCTTCTACTTGTTTCGACTAGATATGTAAGCCCAGTCATCTCTATCTTGTTAAGTTTTGGTCCATGTTTGCCTAATCTCTCTAGCACTTTCTATTGATATCCATTTTAAAGTGCTTAGTGGTGGTATTCAAGGGAGCTCTGGGAATTTAGCGGTGAGGGACTTGCACTGCCAAAGCAAAAGTTCTTGGTTCAAATCCACTAACAGGAGAAGGAACAATCTCCTTCCGTGCAATTTACTACTCTGAAAACCCGCTAAAAGTTCAGCTATGGGTCAGTTCCTATTTGAAGTTACCCAACAACAAAAATGGTACCCAGGGGCCATCTAACTATTCTGGTCTCAGGATCATTGAGACTTTAGGATCATTAGATAATTCAGGATCATTAAGTATTAGGCCTGATTGTCTTTATGCATTTTTGCTAATCTTTCCTTTTTTTAGTTCCAGACAAGGAGTTAGGTGCACCTTAGATGGTCTCCACTCACCAAAGTATTAAGTAAACCATTGTGGATCGGAATCTGTCCGGATGCGTGGGTATTCAAGTGGTCAAAGGCTTATATATGAGAAAGGGGAGCTTAAACACAAAATACTTGATGGAAGGTAATAAGACTCCAAACCAGAAAATCTCTGTGTCTCTTACCACAACATGTTTTGTTTTGTGGAGACCTCATTCCTGGCAGTAACGGGTTTGGTGATAGCTTCTTTAGAGCTGCAGTCATGATTTAAAATGTTACCCCAAGCATAGCAAAGATGCCCCTGATACACATCCTGTTTTCTGGGAAAAGATCGCTACCACAATAATTTAGTTGGGAAGCAGAGATAAATGGCTTATTGGCTTCAGCAGTGGTTCAAAGGACTGCAGTTGACCGGAATTACAAGATGCAGTTCCTCGCACCCTCCCTCCCAGCCCTCGAATGTTGACAGCGTTGCAAAATAACAACACTGACACCATTGCATGTACGGGTTATCTGCAAGAGACGAGTTATCTGCAAGAAAGAAGAGGAATAAAGCCCAACCAACGGACCGTGAAAGAATCTCAAAGCCACAATAGAGTTGACACAAGCATCAAGAAATAAAAAAGGAAGTCTCTGAAGCCCACTGCTGGCGAGGCCGGGAGCCCGCGGAGCCGCAGAGACGATTTATTTGTTTACACGCGGCTCGTGGTGCCTGCAGCCAGCTCCCGCCGCGGTGACGTCACACGCCCGGGCGTGGTCACGTGACAGGAGCCCCGCCTCCCGCCGCCCCGCCTCGCGAGCGCAGTGTCCCGGCGCGGCATTCCCTCGGTCGGAGCTACTAGGAGCTAGTGCAGCCGAGCGGTAGAGGCGGGGGAACCGACAGCGGCCGAATCGCGGGGCCAGGCCGGAAGCCGAGTGGCCGGTGCTCCGCAGTCAACGCGCCTGCAAACTTGGACGTGCATTCGCGCAACTGCGCCCGAGGCTCGAGCGGTGATGAAGATGGTCGCGCCCTGGACGCGCTTCTACTCCAACAGTTGCTGCCTGTGCTGCCATGTCCGCACCGGCACCATCCTGCTGGGCGTCTGGTACCTGGTGAGCGCGGCCGGCGAGGGGCGCGCACCTGCCGGAGACCCGGCTTTCCCGGGCGGCCGGAGCCTGCCTGGCTTCTCACGCCCTCAAGTGGATGCCCGGCCCTGCTCATGCCGGCGCCAATCCGCCTAAAGTTGTATTATTAGAAACTTAATTCTCCGGGTGAGCTGTCGCCAGTCCCCCGCGGCTGGGCCAACCCGTGGCGGGGGGCGCACAGTCCTCTACTGCCCGGGGCCGATCCAGCCGGGGACCTAAGTGGGAGCGTTTAGCAGGGGGTGGGAGGAGTGGGATTTGGAGAGTCGGAAGATGCCCAGAAGCTTCCAGTTGTCCCGAGAGCGCGTCTTAGCCCAGCGTGTTCCCGTGAAAGTGCACTTAGGGGCCCTAATTCGGACTCTATCCACGGAGCACGTGTTTCCTTTCTTTATTTTAAAAATCCTTTTGACTTTGTTCTTTGGATGAGCTCAGCCGGCTATCTTTGAGGTGACTGGGCATATTTTCTAGCGCCTTACTGGCGCTCTGGTTAGAGTGTTGCGTTGCTAAACGAAAGGTTGGCAGTTTGAACCTTCCAACGGCTCTGGGAGCAAGAGTTGGCGTCCATAGGGATTTTCAGCCTTGGGAACCCTGTGGAGTAATTCTGTTGCATCCTGTGTCTGTAGGCATGCTGTGTGTGAATGGATCAGAACCGACTGGTGGCCAGGGATCCGGTGGGTTTTGTTTGTCGTTCTTGCCTTGTGTCGTTGGAGACTTGGAATGCCTGTTCTTCCTGCCAGCCTTATTTCTCCTGATGAGCTTTGCACGCCCTAATTTACACATTCTGATGCAGATTGGAAATGGCTGGAGATCCTGTTGTTGTGAGCCAGTCCCCCCCACACCTGTTTGCTTAAAAAGGCTTTTCTGGAGGCAGGATTTGCTTGTGAATCGCAGTTCTTTAGCTTGCCTGGGAAACCGTCTTACACCCACTTAACCTCTTTCCTATCCCATTTGCAGATAGATGATCCCTGTACCTAAATCACAAGCAAATCTCTGTTACATTAAAAACAAAATTGTAGCTTAAAGGATCTCCTTTTACAGGGAGCAATCTTTGTCAGAAGTAGTGAGGAACTTAGAGGCTTTTTTTTTAATTAAATGAAAGTTTACAAGGCAAACTTAGACTTCAGTCATTCATGCGTGTATTATTTTATAACTAATTACAGTACCCACAGCGTAACCACACTTTCCACTTCCCTTTTGTGATTCCAATTTCTATTAATTCTTCTAATCTACACCTTCCTGCACTCTGTGCTTTATCTGTGGGTGGATCCTGGTCTTTTGATCTTACAGTTGATTGATTATTCTAGGGAGTGATTGCAGGCCTCCTCATTTTACAGTCCTTTCTATTGTTTGGCTGAAAATTGAGCCACTAGCATGAGGATTTTGTTCCAGGTTTTGATGGAGGCTTGCCCACTGCCTGCTCAAGGTTGATGGTTGGCGCCTCCAGACTGCACCAACATAAGTCAGTCTGATTCCACTTCGACTTTAGTTTTGTGACATCATGATGAGGAGGTAGACCAGAGGCGCTTGGCAAAGAAAAACCACCACATAGAGAGGAACTGCCTTAGAATCAGTATTCAAATGGCTACAGAACTTTTCATTGAGGGGGGAATCACCTTAATCACAAGTGAGTTTTTGTTGATTCGTATTTAATACTGTGGTAATTTTTTTACGTAATAAAGACATTATGTCGAGCTGTGAACTCATTTCTTCACACCTTTTAAGTAAAGCATGCACCCTTCCACCAGTGTTCTCGGCTATTTTTAACTTTACATTTCCTTTATTGTCTGTCATACAATAGACATGTAAAAGTCTCCATCCATTATGTGGGGCTTCATATTGTTCGCTGTGAATATAGAAAAGACATCAGTGTGGTAGCTCAGTCCTAACTGCCAAGAAATGCGTCTGGGTGGCCTCAAATATCAAGAGTGCTTTTCTTGGTGATCAAGACAGTGTTTGATACAGACGTCTTGTGTCCTCCTTGAAAATGCTACGTTCTGCAGATTTGCAAAGTGCATCAGTGAATGTAATTTGTAAAATCTGGGACACTGCATTAGGCAAATGTACTACATGATCTACTGTAAAGATAAATCTCCTTGAAGCCTGTTGTTGGCCGTGATCCCACCAGCCGGTGTTGGGGTGATAAAAGACGTGCTCTCTGCCTGCTTTGTCTACTGTTCCGACATGCTCTGTGCGGAAAGCTGTTTTTGGAGTGCGTGTCTTAGCATCAGGGACTATCTGGCCCTTTTAAGGATAATTAGGTAAAAACGCCACGTTAAGTGGACTCAATATGGAAAACTGGAGTAGTCTTTGTAATAAAGGGCTTTTTCATTTTAGAAAATAATTTAGACCTTTCTTGAAAAAAATGAATATCCCCTCTTATATAATTGCATTTTTTTGACAACTAGTGTGGCCTAGGAGCAGTCACTGAAGATCAAGGCCCTACACTTCCTCCTTCCCACATTATCTGGGTGGAGTGGGGTTTGCTCTTAGGAAGGGGGAGAATTTTTCTGGGAAAAAAGGATAGAGTTATGTGCAGATATTTCAAACAGGAGCCACAGGAAAGGGTTCTAGAAGCCCTAATGGTGCAGTGGATAAAGTGCTTGGCTGCTAACTGAAAGTTTGGTAGTTTTGAACCTACTAGGTGTTCCATGGGAGTAAGTGGATTTGGTTTATAAGGGCTCTTTTCTAAATTAATAAATAGTTGCCTGTTCTACCAGATTGGTAAACCAGATCTTTTAGCAGAATTTTTTTATTTACTGAGGGAGATCTGGTGACCTAATGATTAAAGAAGCCATGCTGCAGCCTCCACGGCCTCTGGTTTGGATACATTAGCTGCTGGAGAAGGATGGGCAGTCTCCGCCTGTGGGATTTACTGCCTCTGAAAACATTCTGGAGGATCAGCTATGAGTTGGTTCCAACTCGACAGTACACAACATTTACTAAATTCTTATGTGGCACGTACTGTGCTAGATACTTCCAGTGAGCTTAAACCTCCACACCACATTAATAGTGATGAGGTCAAGGCTATGAGAATTTAGGCAGTTTACTCAAGGACTTTTGGCAGACTTGAAGTCTGAATGCTCTTTGTATTATGTTAAAGCTTGAAAAGTTGTGTGTGTGTGTTTTCTTTCTGCCTGGGACTAGTAAAGATTCAAAATCAATCCAGAAACCCTCGAAGGCCATTTCTGTCCAGTCAGTTCAGATTCATGGAGACTTTCATCCAGTTTTCAAGGCTGTAAATCTTAATACTGGAGATTGCCCATCTTTCTCCTGAAGAGAGCAGCTGGTAGATTTGAACTGCTTGCCATGTAGTTAGCAGCTCAACACTTAATACACCATGCCATGAAAGATATCCCTAGTAAAGATCAGAAATAAAGAATATTGAGTTTAAGTATTTACATTAGGCATATTTTGAGGGTTTTTAAAAAAATTATTTCCTTGATATATAATTTACACACTACAGTGCAGAGGTATTAAGTTTGCACTAGATGAAGCAGATAAATACATAAGCTTCAGGAACATAACCTTAAAAGAACACTTTCGGGAGCTCTGGTGGCCTAGAAGCTGAACTGCAATCCCAGAGGTACGCGGTTTGAATCCACCAGATGCTCTGTTGGAGAAGGAGGGGCAATCTCCTCTTGTACCAGTCAGATCAGATTTGACGGGACACAGTCAAAAGAATTATAAAAAAAACCCCAAAAAACAAAAAAAAAAAAACCCCAACACATTTTTTAGGGCCCCAGAAAGCTCTTTTGTGTCTCTTCCTAGTCAGTTCCCAGCATACGCACGTCTACTCCATTGACCACCATGGCTAAGTTTTGCTTATTTATATAAATAAATAGCAGAAAAAGAGCATACCAGACACACTCTTTCATGCCTGGCTGCTTTCACTTCACATAACATCTTTTAAACTCATTGATGATGTTTATAGGTGTCAGTGATTCATTTCTGTTCACTACTCAGTATTTCTCTGTTTGCTGGGTGGTAGTCATTTGCATTGCTGCCACTTTGGGGCCATTCTAGATAAAGCTCCTCAGAACTATTTTTTTCTTCTTCTTGTTACGTACTACTGTCGAATCAGATCTACTGACGCAGGAGGAGCTTGCCCCTCCTCCAGCAGGGTATCTGGTGGATTCGAACTGCGCACCTTTGGGATTGTAGCACAGCTTCTTGCCACTTGGCCACCAGAGCTCCCTTAGAACTATTTTTTTTTTAGAGTAAAATAGTAAAGATAGAGAATAAAATAGTAAAGATTAGAAAGTTAAATCCCTAAAGGGACTTCTGTCCCTGAAAGGAAATATGGAGGGGAGGCCCTACATTGAACTCTCTGTACAAGACTTATAGGAGGACATAGATCTTAATATCTTTGGGTATGCTAGGAGTGGAATTGGGATCATTAAATAAATGTATAATAGCTTTATTAGAAAAGAACATTTAATTTTTCCAGAGTAGTTCTCTCATTTTGTAATCTCACTGTGAAGGGATTTCTGGTGGCCTAGCAGGTAAGTAGTTAGGCTCTCAACCCATAGGCATGCAGGTAGGTTTAAATCCACCAACTGCTCCTTGGAGACAGATGGGCAGTCTCTTTCCTCCGGAAACCCTTTGGAGGGTCCGCTATAAGTTGATTCTGACTCGACACACAAGCACATAACAATCGGCAGTGGGTGACATTCCAGCTGTTCCTATCTTTACCACCATTTGTTGCTTGCTATCTTTGTTAATGTTGACCCTCTGGTGGAATGTAGTAGTAGCACCTGGGGGTTTTAATTTGCTTTTCTCTGATAAGTAATGCTGCAAGTAACACTATTTTTTTTTAAATTGACCCATTATATCTGTATCTCCTTTGTGCTAAAATATTTCACATTTTTAAAAATTTTTGTTTTCTGTTACTTTGTAGGAATTATTTCCATATTTTGCATTAAATATGAATGTTTTGTTAAAATTTTGCTTCCTGCCTATATGTAACTTGA